AATTGAGCTGGTTTGTTCCTTTCTCTTCCACTTGTTCTATTCATATTACTAGGGTTCCTATCTATTTGTAGCAGAGCTTTCAGTACATGTTACTTAAATTATTCTTACTTTTGTTTCCTGTTATGCAGTTTAAATTTTAAACAAATTTTGTTGTAGTTTTCACAATAAAGGGATATATCAATGCTACTTATATGGTGTCTTATTAGTTTCTCTTCCTTTTGTGAAATGATAGAATTTGTGGGGCACAAACATGTGACTTCTCTTCAATTATGTTTGAGATGTTTACATTAATTGTACTTGGGGTCCTTTTTTTTGGCATGTTTAGTTAATATTTTGTGTTTTTTAAACATGTGACTTCTTTAATCCACTCTTCGGCCTATGCTCACTCGTTTTCTCTATGAATGTAAACATCAAATTGTGGTTTTTTTTGTGGGTTACATCCTGAAAATTACACACATTTTAATGTATTTTTGTTAGAATTTCCATTTTCTTTTATCATGCAACTTATAACAAGAGTTGATACTGTTTGAGGTTAAAATTTCTTATGAATTGTTAAAATCCTCCAACAAAATCAAGCAATATGTTGTGAATGTCAAACCCAATTGTAATATTTCTTTGGAAGTTGATAACTGCATGAATACGTACACAACAAGATTTATTGGATTATAATCTGTAAGGTTGAGAATGGTAACCACAGTTCAGTGGTTTCAGCTTCAACTAAACCACTTAGATGTCCATCTTCAATCTTCAAATATTTTGTAACTTCTTTTTATCTATAAAATCTACACAAGTAGTTGTTGAGGATCCTATTCGTTATGAATAGATGACCACCTGATGCGTCTAATTAATTAATTTATTGTTCTTAGAAAATACAAAATTCTAATCGGTATTTTCTTCTTCTTTTACCCTTAACTTCCATAAAGTTTCCATTCTTATCAGAATTTTTCTGAATATGAACCTTACAGACCAAACAGTCAGGGTGAAGCTTGAAATGAGTATAACCGGGGAAAAAGTGGTTGACACCCTTTTAAGTTAAATTTACATGGGTTAGCATTATATCTTGTGCTTTTACTTTCTATTTGTTTAGTTATGTTTTATTTAGCAAACCATAAAAGGTCTTCTTGTTAATATGTGTATAGCATTAAAGGTTGTTTTCTTGATTTTCATGTGTTGTTAAATTGTAAAAAAATTGTGTTCATTTGTTGTTTTCCTCTTTAACTTTTTTTTTTTCTTCAAAATTCAAAGACAAGGAAAATCTTGTGTTGCCAAAATGGTTCTTGAGTTTCCTCAGTTCAAGAACAGTAGGATTTGTTTGTTATGCAGGTAATCTGTACATATTTTAGCACAAATTTTTATTAATTGACTTCCCATGTAAAGTTTTCATTTTTTTCATATTAAAGCCTTTTTTAGGTTGTTGGTATCAGGTCAATGCATACCACAAGTCCACAACTAGCAAACTTATGAGTTATGATTCAGTTTAACAAAAAAAAAGTAACATTCCCTCAATTCCAGAAAAGATGCAAGTTTTGACTTTTTCAACTTTATAATTCTTGTTCATTCTGAACTCAATTTCACCATTAGAAATACTACAAATTACAGAAATTGAGGATAAATTAATTAGGAAATTTATAATGATATTATACATCCAAGTACTACTATACTAGATTTGACTTTTGAAGTCAGCAAATTAATAACTAGAAAAAAAAATTGTAACCATATTGTAAAGAGTAAATTGCGCATTTGGTCCCTAACTTATTTTTTTAACTCGGAAGGTCCCTACTGTTTATATTTGTTACGCGCTTACGCGCTTAGTCCCTGTCTTATTATCTAAAAGGATTATTATACCCTTATTTAAATAAATTAAAATAGTGTTTTTAGGTAAGATAAGGTGAGGTGGAGGTGGGATTGGGATTGGGATTGTGTTTATTTAAATAAATTAAAAAATCAACGGCAAAATAGTCTTTTTAGGTAAGACAGGGACCAAGCGTGCAACAAAAACAAACATGGACCTTCCAAGTAAAAAAAATAAGTTAGGGATCAAACACGCAAATTACCCCAAACCATAGGGATCATTCGTGTAATTTACTCTATTGTAAATGATGGTTAATGCTCCATTTTACAACAAAGAGTGCTTTTCAAGAAAAAATGATAAGAAATATAAATGTCAGAAAGTTGTTGCAGCAAGTAAGCACAAGAGGGTTTGATTATATTCATCATTGACTTAGATTTAATATTGCAACATACAGATTGTTGATGGATTGGAATTTATGGACCATGGTTACTTTCAATATTTATGAATATGCTGCTCTGGAAAAGTGGTTAGTTTCTATGTTTTATCAGCCAAATTTCATTTATGTGTTGGGTTAAATGCAAGAATTAGTAAATGTGAATTCATTGATCTGTTTGTTATAGCATCCTACTTTTGTATATTTTTATCACATCATTGTTCTTTTAAAAATCTACCCAATTATATAGCAATAATTTTCAAATGCAAAAACAATTTTGAATGCTATAACTGGGTAGATTTTGCAAAGTAGAATGGCCTGATAAAAGATTTGAAAATACAATGTTATAACTGGAAAGACTTTTTTCTAGTTATTTAGGAAGAAAAAAAAAAAGTGAAAGCGCAATGTTGTAATAGAAAGAAATGGAAGTAGGATGATATAATACACATACAAATGAAACTACATTAATACTTCTTGCGTTTAGCCCTTATATTTATTATAAACATCAATAGTGGAACTTTCAATTTTATTGTTGTTAAATTTTTACCATCATTGTATGACTTGTTATCTTTTGCTATGGCTTCTTGCACATATAGGATCGGAGTTTTGTCTATCATGGACATTGCCTTCATCTTATGTTAGTTCAATGTTCAAAATTTCCCTCCCAAATAAATATATGCTTCTCTGGTTTAGTTTGTTGTGTTCTTGGAATGTTCTTGTTGGAACTACTCATTTGATGTTGGTATTACTATTGTTTAAAGATAACTCTCATAGAAAACCTTTTTTTCCTACTTGTCATGTTTGTCTATGATTTGTTGTTTGTATCTGTAATTCTGATTTAGCTTTCTTGTGTTGGAACTCACGCATTTGTATTTTTAGTTTTCTTTGTAGCTGTTTATTTCTCTTGAAGCTTAATTTCCAGGTTTTTGGCATTTAGAGCAAAAAGCTTTCACATTGTCTTGAATGGTAAGAACTTAAGGGACAAAAAGGGATAATTTCTTCTTTGTACAGACATTTAACAAAGTGGTATGGATGGTAATAGCTTAAGGGACCAAAATTGATGAATTTTAAAACCATGAGGACCATATATTTATGTCCATGATTTTAAAAATCAAAAAAAGTGCACGCCTTAAGGCGAATCTACCATAAAACGTTTATGAAGCGCCGCTTCTAGGTGTGTATTTGATACATACGCTTCTTACATGTGAAGTGTACAAAGCAATTCGTGAATGAGATACCTACGCATATTTTTTAGCCTAATTTTGATTTTTTTTTTCTTTTCCAGTTGTACCTAGTCTTCTTCGCGTTCCACCTGTTCTTCTTAGCATCACACTTGGTAATTCTTCTTGAGATGATGAAATTGATGTTATCAATTGTGTTTTTATGTCCAATTTCTTGATTTCGACACACTGACATAGAACCATTCCTCTTAAGAACCAAATTTGACACTTATCCTTGTTTTTGCAAACACTTGACTCATCTTAACTACCATGGCCAAAAACCAAGCTTCTTTAGCTTTTTTTTTTTTTTTTTTTTTTCCAAACCCTCCGGGAAATCAATAAGCGTGAAATATCCATAATTCATACATGTAACCATAATAGGACACTTCATCATACTTGAATCATTATAGTGTCACATAAAAATTACCATGCAATGAAGTATTTACATATGTATACAATGATGTATAAACCCTTAGACTTAGCCATATCATTAGTTTGACAATTTAATCGTCATAACCAGTCTTAACATATATTAAACCATGCACATGTTTCATATCACATACTTTCTTACTTTTACACATATATTCCCTCGTAGCCTAATTCTTCATATTCATATATCAGTATCTATTTTTTGATAACTTTAAACATTTATTGGCATTATATAATCATTACTCATACGTTGACCTTTTACTAATAGTCAACATTCATAAACGTGTAAATCCATAATAATATTCGTATTATCGTATAATGTATGTATCTTATTGCAATGGCGAAATGTTATCTTTCATCCTCTTTTTCTTTAATACCTTTCGGAATCCCTTTTTGCCAATTCTCCAGTTAATCACATACTCCATAATAATGATGAAATTATTCGTAGACTCATTTCCATCTTGATTGTATCCATAATAATTACCTTCCCGTCATAAATCATCCCAACTTCACCATCATAATGAAATTATATATATATATATATATATATATATATATATATATATATATATATATATATATATATATATATATATATATATATATATATCAATCCTTCATTTTATTCTTTCAACATATTTCACCTTTCACTTTTTTTAACACGTAATAATTTAAATTTCAACAGGAAAAAAAATATAATAATAATAATAATTAATATTTTGTTAAGTTATCAATAATAAAAAAAAACAATTGGACCCGTTTAAAAATGGATTACAATGTGGATTTACATTTATGGTTCACAACATGGATTCAATAAATGTATTCGACAAAACATTCAAAATATGGATTCAATTCACAAACTTGATTCAACAATCTCGATTCATATTCACAAAAATCGATTCGAATGTACACTTACAATTTTTTGATGCATGTTCTCATAATGGGAAAAGAGATGAGTCAGCGGGGAAGAGGAGAGAGAAAGAAAGCGTGGTTAATGCTCTTCTTCACGGTGCAATGTTCCAGTCAGTCGGGTACTGATCCCTAAGTATGACACCGTTGGGCAGCAGCATGATCATAACACATACATACCCTCATAACCAAATGAGTACATCCATATGTCTTTGGATCATAACATTATTATACATGACATGTTGGACTCTAACTGATTTCATACCAAAAAAAAAAATGAAAAACTAATTTATTTCATTAAATTTGATCACATAGTGTTTGAATCATTCTATTAGTTAGAATCCGTCCAATTAGCTTCCCTCAAACTCTTTTGACATATCCTAAGTTTGTCCCTTTGAATGCATGTTTATATGTGTGTTTAATAAAGTAGCAATGAAATTGCTATCTGTAAGATTTATTTTCATCTTTTAAGAAGCAAAATTTGGTTATACTCATAATCAAACAACATCACCAGAAATGAAAACCAACACCAAGTTTCAAGTTTCAACAAGCATCTAACAAACTAACTTATAACTAAGCCTTTTACTTATAACGAACCAATCCAAGAGAATAGTGACACCCCTATTTTCTAACAACAATTTATAAAACAGTGATCCCTAGTGTCTGTCAAATGTCAAATCATTCCACAAAGTGTAAAGTCAGAAAACTGGCCTGTATTAATCGGACTTCCAGACACTTGAAAAGAACTTCCCATTGTCTGAAAACACCACCACCACCACCTGCAAGGCCTTCAACATTTGCTCCCCCCTGCTTTTATCCAACCAAACTTAACAATGTTACCAACTAAATCGATGTAGCTAAGTTTATACAGCAACAGGATGCTCTGTACATATAATAAACAAACAAAAATAAATACAATTACTATTTGTTGTATTAGATAGTGATACTTGCCTTGGTGTTTGTATTTGATGACTGGAAGAAGAAGTAGAGATTATTTTGCAACTTCATCTACAGCATCTTTCATATTTGTTGTCCCCAACTTTCTTTTCTTTGATGTAGATTCCAGAGTCTCCTTTTCACTTTGAACCTCTTTTTCTTTTCCTTTGCCTTGTTCTCCCTTTTTAGCTTTTCCTTTTTCTAATTGCAATTCACCATTTGAAGGAAACAATGGAGGTTCTCGACCACTCAGACGACAAAACACTTTTTCAACTGTTTCATTTATCTCTCTCCCAAGTCCATTATTGTCTAAAATCAACTCCCAAACTGATTTAGAAGCCTTCTCAAGCACAGGGGTTCTGTACAAATGAAGGTACAACTAGAATATAATGCCAGAGAGTATATAGAATAGAAGAAAATGTTATCGATCTTTAAATGTCTTTTATAGAGTATAAATGGCTAGCTGACGCTTCAGATGAAACTTACTCAAGTTCTTGTCTAAGAGCATCAAAGAGTTCCCTTTTAGTTTGTTTCTCTGCCCCTGGTGTGTTGAGAACCTTGCTTTGCTCTACCATTTTTATAGTGGTACTCTTCAGCTCTTCCTATACGAACAAAACAAATCTTAAGATCATATAGAATACAACACAACAAGAATATACTACTTAAAACCTCTAAAGCCTAAAAGCTACAAAGAGATGAAATAAAAAAAATCAAGAGCAAGAGCAAGCACAGAAAAAGGTTAAACTATTCCCGTGAGAAGTAAATCGACATTCTTCTTCAGAAAAAAACACCTAACAAACTTCATTTTTTTTCACTGAGGAGAGATCACGATTAAAATGATCGTGAAATCCAAGTCATATTGATCGTGAAAACACTAATATGGAGTTGAAAACGACATTAAAACATACATTGGCTTTCAGCTGATTAATGATTTTCAATCTCATGGTGTCAATTGTGCCGTCGTTCATCAGCGATTCCAATACATCTTCCGGGGTTATGACTGAAGATGATGTTTCCATTTTTAAGGCCTGAAAATTCAAGTTTCAATCGTTAAAACTTACTCAAACCGAAAACTCCACGCACCGGTTTAAAGAAAAATGGAAGAAAAAAAAAAACCCTAGGGTTTCGGAGAAGTTAAATTCGAGGACAGTGAGATACTTACGGATTTTCAATTACAGAAACTGGATTGTGGAATGATTTGTGTTTGTGTTTGTGTTTGTGTTTGTGTTTGTGTGTGTGCGCGCGAGCACTTGATTTCTGATCAGCGGAACGAAAGAATGAACTTGGTTCGTGGTTGTTGGGGTGCTGTTTGTTCGTCGTAGACTTGCTTTCGTTTGAAGTGGCCCAATCTAAAGTTTTCAGACTTCAACTTGGATTTATAACACAAATCAGAAAATCAACAAATATAAATAAATTATAACCGAAGACTTCCAAAAATATCACATTTCGCAAAAACTAAATTGTAACAGTTATTTCAAAATAAATCTGAGTCTTTTTTACATCGATATATAAAAATAGCAACATTTTTTTGTCATTTATATTGATGTTGAAGATTATTGGTGATACCCGGTAAAGACCAAAATCTATGAAACTAACGTTTTGTTCTCGAGTTTTTTAATGAATAGAAGAGCATGAAGATGTTACGGTAGAAGTTAACAATCAATAGAATAACAAATATATAACAAATGAAATTCAAATAAAATATAAAGAAGTAATTCACAAGAAAAACATACTTGAATGTGTTACAAACTCGAAATTGTAGAAGATTGATGAATGCAATCAATGTCTTAAGACAGAAATTTCCAGGATATGGATCTGCGTTGAGGATACAACAATCAATCCAAAAAATGATATAGAATCTGTTGAAATTTTTTGTATTCCCTTCATCTTCAAAAATTTGCAAGAATTTATTGTAGTGTGATATGATTTCTATAACCCTCCACAAATGACTGAAAACAAGTATTTATAGATAGTGATTATGGTAGTTGGAAACCGTCAAAACCGAAAATAACTGTCATAATACATGTCAATTCAGTAATTATGAATTTAATAAAAATAAAAATTAATTTTGTAATTAAAAAATATTTAATTAATCAGCAAAACCCCAAGAGCTAAGCGTGGGCAAAAAAACCGGTTCAGGAACCGAATCGGTAGCTGAACCGAAAACCGGTTTCGCTCTGAACCGGTTCACATTTGAACCGAACTGTTGATGAACCGAACCGCCGGATTAAACCAATTCGATGTTTCAACCTTTGAGACCGGTTTGGAACCAGATTTGTCTGAACCGGTTTCCGATATTACAGTTGGTGAACCGTCTGTGAATCGGTTTTTGAATTCTACCTGTTTTTTTGTTTCTTTCTAACGGCTTTATAGCCGTTTGAGGCCGTGTAAGACCCACTTTGGCTCCTTTTTGACCATATTATCCATTCCTTTTAGTGTGTGTGTGTGTGTGTATATATATATATATATATATATATATATATATTAGATGTTTAGCTCTCAACTTTACCTTAACCAAACCTCAAAAAACCTCTCTTAGTTTAAAAAACTCTCTTAATTCAAAAAATGGATTTGGCTTCCGTTGGTGTTGGAGATTCATCAAACAATCTTAGTGTTGTTAGCATCAAAGAAACAAATAGAAATCCGGCTATTTGGTGCAACTATGACATGTGTATAATGTTGAACGGTATAAAAAAAGCGCGATGCAAGAAATGTGGTGCTTTTTTCAATGAAGATGGGAGTTCGACATTGAAAACTCATATGACCAAAAGATGCCCCGCGGTGAAATTTGGGTCGGAACATAATCAAACAACAATGGCGAATGATGCAACATTGTGGAGTTACGACATGGCTAAAGTTCAGGATAAGATGGCGAAGTTCATGATTCAAGAATGCTTGTGTTTTGACCACTTCGACAACAAACGATTGACTTTATTCATCCAAGATACTCTCCAACCACGATATTGTCATGTGAGTCGTACTTCTATTAGACATGATTGTATTGAAAAGTGGAAACTTGCAAAAAATGAATTGATTTTAGGATTTCAATCTTTAGAAACCGGTGTGAATTTAACTTGTGATGTTTAGACGGCTCCTCACGGTTTACCGGATGCCTACCTTTGTGTTACCGTTCATTGGATTAATCCAACTAATTGGGTAATGATGAAGCGTACGATTACGTTTGAATTATTTGAGTACCCGCACACCGGTCGAAATTTATTTAAAATTTTAGATTGTATGATCAAAACTTATAAACTTGAAGGAAAGATTTTTTTTCTATATCTTTTGATAACGCTTCAAACAACACCATCGCGGTTGGACAACTAAAACTAAAATATAAACCAATTTGTGATGGTGTTTTTTTCATAGTCGATGTGTTGCACATATCATTAATTTGGTTGTGCAAGATATACTAACTAGCATTGAAACTATAAAAGATGGTTTCAAATTAGATCTGATCTTACATGATAATTTCGATATATGTATGCTAGATCTAGGGTTTATGAGCTTTAGATGATTATTGCATGTTCATTAGACAAATTAGATCCAAAACTTTAGGGTTTGCATGTACATCATAGGATTGATGTTTTCCTTAAAACTTATCAGCGGTATCAGAGACTAGACTGTTTATATAATGTATTTGATGTATTTCATAATCATTCAAGATTAAAATCACAAAATTCTGCTTTCTGGGGGTTGGACTCACCGAGTCCATGACTGAACTCGACGAGTCAGAGTCGTAGATGGCTGATTTTGCGGGATTTTAACCTATTTTGTTCTGGGATAATTACCAAAAACGTTTTTAATTAATAAAATCTGATTTTTATTGATTTTGTGTGATTATCCTTACTAAAATAGAAAATAATTGTCAAATTAATTGGATATTCATTGCCTTATGTGATAAACTTGATTTATTTGATGAATTATCTTGTAAGTAATTGAATTAGGTCAATTTTAGATAATTACCAATTATTTGATTAACTGAATTATTTGTAATTTGATCTAGATTGTTTTGAAAAGTTTCAAAACTTACCCTCAAGTTTTGGAATTTAAATTTTTGATTAAAATTTAATTTTGAAATATTTAAATCCTAAACCCTAATATTTTGGAAAAGTTTCAAAATTTGTCTTCAAGTTTTTGAATTTAAAATTTTGATTAAAAAGTTTAATTTTGAAATATTAAATTCTAAAACCATAAGTTTTGAAAAGTTCAAATTGCACCCTTATGGTTTTATGAAGTTGATTAAATGTATAATTAAATGAGATTTAATAAATCCATAATGATATGGTTTATATTTAACTAAATTAAAAGTATACTTTTATTAAATTAGACCACCTAGTATTTTAAAAGTGTAAAATACACCTTTATACTATATATAAAAATAAAAGTCAAATATTATATATGTATGAGTAAATATGCTAGTCTTACCTTTAGGAGACCTCATTCATGAAGTCGATCTATAAGGGGGTATAATGTTATGGTCTATAAAATGATTGTTTAATGGGTGTCCACTCTCACCCATCGTTTTCTTGATTGATGGAGGGTCGTTAGCCGAACGGGTAGCATAGGGCAAACCCTTTCCTCATTAAAAGTATAATGAATTATAAAGTAACTAAATGTTTTATAAAATTCCCAACCTTAGTTACTTTAGGCAAAAGTGAATTTGATGCAATTCCATGAAATTACACTTTGCACCCTTGCTAAAGACGATTAGTGGAGCGTGTGTGGTTAACCGGCACACTAATTAGGTTCTAAGCGAAGGTGGCAAAGGATGACAGGATGTTTTTCATAAATCGATGGAGTGTGTGTGGCTAACTGACACGTCGATTAGGTGACTGTTATATTGGGGGCACCGTGTATATTTGCATGGTTATTCACACCCTGTTTTGTGATCCTCGGCATCCCAATCACAAAACGAGGGATATATCGAGATTTAAACATTTCATTGAAAATTTCAATGAATCTTAAAAGATCTAGGAGTTTTCAATACATTTAAAACTTAATCTCTTTTTCGTTTTTCATGGTGGAAAATTAGTGAATCGTCAACCACTTACCTTCAAATGTTCTGCAATTTTGATTACAACATCCCTCTTCCAAATTGTAGAATATTGTATCGGTTCCTAGCCTTAATATCTCATTTGGGTGTTTTATTAAGGACTCAATCAACTAACTTGAATTTTCTCCCGTTTATAGATGCCTGATTCTAACTATGGTCTTCTCAAATCCCTTGGAACAAGCTTTCCACATGAAGATGATATTCCACAATTCGATCGAGGAACAAGAGATCATTCTTCAGTTCCTCCATCTCCTCCTATTGTTCTTCCCGACCCACAAGTTTGAAGGCTTGAAAAGTTCAAGCTCACTCAAGCCTTTTTGGCAAGTAAACATGAAGAAGGAAAGTCAGTATGTGTACACGTCTTAAAGATGAAGTCACACATTGACATGCTAAGAATGTTGGGAGTCGTTGTCTGTGAGAAGCTGGTTGTTTACTAGGTTCTTTAATCGCTTCCTGACTCATATAGTGAGTTCGTAAGAGAGTACTATATGATAGACCACGACGTGACCCTCATCGATCTCACCTATTTGCTTGTTGTTGCTGAATCAACAACGATTTGGCGCACCGGAGAAGCAAAGTTGATTGGTAGATCTACCTTCCAAACCTCCATTGACATAGGCAATGGCAACGAAAAGCATGCCATGGTTGAAAATTTTGACCATAAGAGAAAGGCAAAGTCTGAGGTAGTTTCGTGCACTGTTCCAAAAGAGTCAATTTACTTTTATTGCCTAGAGAAGGGGCATTAGAGACGAAGCTGCTTTGTCTACCTGAGAGATCTAAGAGATGGTAGAGTCAAGACGTATGACTTTACTTCAATTAAAATCCATTAACTAACTCTATAAGTTCCTATTTTTTTATTCTTAATACATGATGTGATAAGATTACATTTGATGTTTTGTATGATCGATGAAAAGAGAGGAAGCTTAAAGGAAGAAGTGAGTTGAATCTGACCGCGGAGAAATG